AGAGTTTTTGTAAAAATGGAGGCAAACATATAAGTTTTGGTATGATCTCTTTTTTGTAAGAAAATAATATTATTATTTTTTTCGCCAATTTGTGAGCCTTTAAGCAATTAAATATAATTATTGGCAAATCAATTATGATAGAGTGGATATCTTTTCTCCCCATCTCATAATAATTCGACAATGCGACAACAATCTAAGTTATCCAATTATCGCTATTGATAAACCAAATGAAAAAAAATTACTTGATATAGGAGCAAGCGAAGTATCAACTAACAGTGTGTATCCCCATAACAATCTAAGTTGGGCTTGCGGTTTGGATGAATTAGTGGTTCATTTGTCGAGAAATTAACACCATGTTTGACACCTTTTTTTTCTCACTCTCATTTTTTTCTCATTTTTCATTTCAACCATACATTCTCCAAATAAAATAATATTACACACAAATTTAAAACTTTTCATCATTTTTCTATCACAGATTCTCATATCAATCACCGTTTATATTCTCATAAAAATGAGTTTACAAGTCCTCGGCTTTTCTTTTGAAAGCTTTTGTGGTCAAAGAAAAAACTCAATGAGAGTAAAATAATTGTATTAAAATAGCTAGAAATATAATAATAAAAAATTGATACTCTCTACTCCGAAAACATACGATTAATTTGTTTATACTAAAAATATATTCCACGTATATATTAAAAATATTTTTTTAAGAAATTGAGATGGAAATTATTTTGAGTTGAGGATGATTCGTGTCAGTTCTTAACAATTATATTTTAAAGATTTTTTTATTGTCGTCTATACAATGATTTACATGCATAATTCAAAAAAACAAAAAACAAAAAAAATTGTGTATTTTGAGCAAGTTACTTGAACTCATTATTAATTATTAAAAACTAGTAAGTGCTTATTCACGTGATGATCTTACTACATGTGTCGTTTTGATCTTACGAGTAGGAAATTTGATGAAGTATTGGCTCCATTTTATTACATGTGTCATCGTGATCTTACGAGGGTTTATAATATCAAAAATACTAGCAGGTGACACAATTAATGTTTATTTGTCTGTAGTGGATTGATGTTTGTATTATGTATCAACACGAACTTGTCCAAATTTGCATGCCCACCATTTAGACGAGATCTTTCTTAGTTATTCCAAGGGACCAAGCTATTAACATGGAAAACAAAATAAGAGTTTTCTCAAATGACAAAAGTTTTCAAACCATAAACTGATATGCTCGTGAACTTGACTATACATATGCCTTAAAATTAACTATTTCAATTAGGTAAAAGAGTCCTACTTCTGCCTTATATATTGTTAAGGGATATATATCCCACGTCGATAAATGATGTTGACACAGACCAATTAATAAAGATCTTGAGCTACTCCTTTTAACAAGGTTGACCTTTTAAGATGAAACATCAATTCTTAATATGGTATTAGAGCTCATTATGCTTCAACGAGCGATTCGATCCCGTTAAGACTCTAAAATAAGCACGTGGATTCAAGATTGGTCTACTCAAATGAGCCACCATCTTGCGAGGGTGTGTTAAGGGATATATATCCCATATCGATAAATGATGTTGACACAGACCAATTAATAAAGATCTTGGGCTACTCCTCTTAATAAGGCTGACCTTTTAAGATGGAACTCCAATTCTTAATATATATATGTTGGATCCTTTTGAATTTCTTCTTCCTGTTGAACGATCCAACAAACAAATTGAAATTAGACTTCTCCGGAAACTAGAATTCCCAAATAAGGAAAATGATTTATATTGCTGAATTTGGCAACGTTATGTGTGTCTCGTGAAAGTAGTATATTGGACAAAGAAGACTGGTAAGCAATGGACATCAAAAACAAAACTCAATTCAAGAATTCAATTAGGTAAATGAGTCCTACCTTACGTAAAAGAGTCCTAATTCTACCATACATATTTTATATATATATATATATATGACAGCCTCCCTATAAAGATTTTTATACATCAGAATTAATATAAATCAATATGAATATGCAGACAGTGAAAAGTTGGATAAAGGATGTCGTCGAAGGTCCCCGTATGTTCTTTGATGCTTGTGTTAGTACAATTGTTTTGGCATTTGTGGTCTTCTTTCTGTTTTTCAAATTTAAAATTTTTTATTATGACGACAAAAATCATTTATTCGTAACCCAAGACGATGGAGGCTTTACTGGACTTAAAGTGCTGCTCATATCACTTTTGTCGGGAGTTACTACGTTTACCTCCCTTGGTGCTTCTTGGTACATTAGATGTTGGTGCGTTCACGGTGCATGGGACTTCCCTGATCATGATTTAAAGGTACATCACATTTATTTATTTCTATGATTAATGAAAGACCTAACTCAATATTAATTCATAAATTTGTTTGTCAGGAAGGAGAAATCTCAAAAGGATCGAATGAGAAAATCAAGATTGAAGTTAGGGTGTTATTGACATTGGCATTACTCTTGATGTGTTGCTTTTTAATTTTATATATTACTTAGATTTTCCTACTTCGCTATCAAGGCACTGCTATGATAAAGGTTGTAGGTGGAGACGAGTTGCTAGGCAGAGTGACGGAGATAATATACTAGAAATAGGGCGGGATAAAAGTCGACCAAAATCACTCAAACTGAGGTCGGTTTTGGTTGGTTTTCAAGTTCAATTGGGGTTTTTTTTTTTTCACCAATTTGTGAACCTTTGAGCAATTAAATAATTAGCAAATTATATTATAAGATTTAATGAAAATGCGTTAAAATTTTACAAGTTCCTTAATATTATTTTTTCTGAAACTAAATTCTATAAACTAAAAAAAATTAAAACAAAATTGAAAAAGACAACCCTTATTGAAATCAACCACGCCCCTTCAACGAAAAATAATTATTATACATAAAATTTAACTATCGTAAAATTAAAATTCTCAAAAATAATCAAAAAAAGAAAAAGAAAAATAAGAAATACATAAAGTGATTCCCAAAAAGAATGGATAAAAAAATAAATTTCAAATCTCACTGTACAAGCAGAAGTAAGAAATGGATCGAGCAGAAGTAGATAATAATTGGGCTATTTCCATTTCGCTCTGGAAAGTTGGGCTTGCGGTTTGGATGAATTAGTTTGATTACAAGTCCTCAGCTTTTCTTTTGAAAGCTTTTGTGGTCAAAGAAAAACTCAATGAGTAAAATAATTGTATTAAATCCATTAAAATTGTAATATATTTTTCTCTTTCTTCTTTTTAATTGCACATTCTCCAATAAAATAATATTACACGTAAAATGAAAACTTTTTTTAATTTTTTCTCCAAAAAAAACAATATTCAAAAAATTATAATACCAAATAATGGAGGCCAAACGGTGACCAAGTAGGGCGAGTTGAGCAGCAATTTTCTCCCATGAGATGGCTCACGAGCTTGTTGGCTCATGGGCGAGCCATCTTACCATAATGAGTAAAATATGTCATTAAGTCTAGAATTTATATTGTGAGTTACACGAATAACGTTTTAATGAAAAACTATTGCAAGTTCAATTGAGAGATCGTTGAAAATTTTTTGTTTCCAAGCTTGTGAAACCCTCGTAATCTCCCGTCGTGCTCTAAGCAAACACCCGTCCCATTAGGGTTCAATATCTCTATTTCAAAATTTAAAATTATACTTACAGTAGTAATTGAAAAACGAACAATTTTTAGATTGCTTTATCAACAATTTTACACTACTAAATTACCAGTGGCTAATAGGAATGGCCAAAAAATCCATTCCACCCGATACCTGTGGGGCCGCTCACCAAATGGGAGGATTACTTGCCTAAACAGGTAAACGTGTCAATGGTCGTTACCCCGAAGTGGGTATAGAAAACACGGTCCCTGCCCCGTTTAAAACTAATTTCAAATTTAAGTTTTTTATCAAAAACAATCATAAATTTATCATTATTTTTAAAGAGAACATAAGTAATTTTTAACAAATTGGTAAAAAAAAGTAATAATATTTACTAACTAAAGACATAAAATTAAAAGCAAAAAATAAAATAAAAAAGAAAAGAAAAATAAATGGGGCAAGGGCTCGGCTGACCCCGTTCTACTTTAATCGGGTATGGGGAAGGGAAAAGTAACAAAAATACTAACATGACAGGGGTGTGAATGGCTTACCCATCCCATTCTCACCCCGTTTCCATCCCTAGTGGCTAAGAAAAATCATTTACTCATCAAATTCTACAAGTTGAAGGCTTCCAAGTTAATGTCTTTGACTACGGCACTGAAATAATCCATTAATTCGGCTTAAACTTTAGTCTATAAATAACTTGATTAGCACTGAAATTATCATAAAGCAAATTTCTCATATTAAAAAATGGCACTCTCCAAGAATTTAATTCTTTTAGGCCTTGACCTTGCTCTAATTATAGTTCGAAATGATTTTCCAATCATTAATTTTGCAACCTTTTAGGGCCGTTTGGCAAAGTATTTTAAAAGTCAAAGTTAAAAGTTGCTTTTAAGCATATAGTATTTTCTCTTATAAAACATGTAATTTGTAGAATGGTGAATTCAACTTCATTGTAAGTTCATGCATCAAATTCAATAAATAGAGAATAACAAAAGAAAACCAGAATACGTGCTTAATGCAAGCAAGAAACTAACTGTCTGTATGTATCAATACACAGTAAAATCCGTCGAGAACTGGCATAGATTGACTAATTTCACTAGATCTTACACTTGTGATTTGTCTTTTATTACATATTTTTAGTGATATTTCATATATCTAAAATTACAAATTTACTTGAAAAAAATAGAAAAAATGAACAGTAAGGAGTGAAACAGGCAGAAAAGAACAAAAAAATCCATAAAAACATACACCCTTCTTGAAAGTGAAAAAACTTTTCTTTTTTCTTTTTTTATTCCAGAGCGTATCTATGTATGTATAACTTCGACAAAGACAAGCTTAAAGTTCCAGCAAACTGACCTACAAAACATATTCCTATTGTTTGCATTTGCTCGTCTTTCTATAAAATACTCCGTAACTATAGCTCACTTTGAGATTCTGTATCCTCTTTTTCTACTTGTGGGGTAGATATAGCAGTATCAGAGGCGGCATCGTCTACTAGTGGAGCGGAGGTTGTAGTATCAGAGTCTGCGTCATCAATGGTCATATTTGATACTTCAGCCGCAATAGAGCTATTGTCTTTTCCATTCAAGGATGGTGATGACGATGCCTTGGGAGGAGCAGTTCCATCACGGGCCAAAGAACCATTAAGTGGAAGCACAGGGGATGAACCAGGAGTGTTGGCAAAATCCAGGGATGGAGTGCCATTAATTGAAGGTGAAGGCGATCCATCAGAAATGGCAGTTGCAGCAGGGGACGGAGTGGCATCAATCGAAGGTTCAGGTGATGCGCTGCGACTAGAAGCAGCAGGTGATGGGGATGACTGCTCGTCCACAGGTTGCTGAAGACTCCAATACATTATACTTGCCGTAAGAGTAAGGATCATCTTTTGGTTTACCTGCCATAAAATCAGCAAATATGATGTCAGGATACAGTATTAACTCAAATTCCACATGACAAGCAGAAGAAATACAAACACGACCCACAACTTTTTGATAACTAAAAGAAAAAAAAGAAATTAAAGATTTTCTGCTTTAAACTACTGGAATATGCAAAACAGCATGTTGTAAAGAGCTACCGAAACCTATGAAGTTACATGTAAAAGCATCATCTATGCATCAAGTATAAAAACACTGTTAGCCACGAACTTGTAGCGAAGTTTCATGTTAGTTACCAAACTTAATTTATTCCAAAGTGATTACTGATGGTTTTATGTTTTAGTGTGGTTAATGAAATCTGCTAGTTTCCGATGCTGAGACCCCTTTGGAACAAACATACTTTTATATCTACTTATAAACATACATACATGTTTATATCATATAACATACATGTTTATAAACATTCAAACTACTTTCTATCCACACATTCCGTGAGACTCAGAAATACTACCTACCTATCCATCACTCAGTTCTACCTACTTATAATTTATAAACAAAAAACTTTTATAAACGTTTCCCAGACATGCTTTTAGTGACTACACTTTCCACCCATTATTTAAAATATGTTGTGCATTTGCTGTTTTTTCAGATATATGTAGTGGCAGGAAGAAGCAAGCACTTAATCATTTCAAAGCATCATAGACTCTCATGAAGAGGACTGTTCTCTTTGAAACATAGCAAGAACTCGAACAATCTGACCACCCTTGAGAAAATATCACAGATGACTGAATTGTACTTCTCACCTCCATGATATCTTCAGGCAACAAGAAGATGGAACAGCCAAGCTTCCTAGCAATGCTGATTATATAAGTAGCATTCAGCTTCTTCTCCTCGTCTACCACACGAATTAAAAAAGTCGAGTCAAATTCCCCATCACAGTTTGTGTTAATTCAACAACATAGCCGATACTATAGCTAAAATTTAGAAACAAAACACAAGATCATTACTGGTCTGGGTGGCAGTAGGTTCCTTAATTCATTGTCCAATGTATTAAAATGAATCACAACTCCGTTGGACAATGAAACAGGGGCCTACTGCCACCTAGAACGATGACGATCTCTCCTAATGATTGATAGCACTACTCAAAATACAATAAATGAAACAAGAAAAAGCCATAGCAAGTAAAATACTCTTGATGCTGAAGATGTTCCTGAGGGTAAAGTGTACATGAATATTAGGTTATTTCCACAGAGGAATGCACTATTGCAGAAAACCAAAAAAAAAAACTTAATTCATTTTCTTGTTGATTGTGAAACCATCCAGTTCAGAAAAGGAGAAAAAAGTATGATGAAACTATTTTCTAGGCTGTTCCACGGTGGTAAAGTGTATTCTTGGGTGCTGGCCGAAGTGACAATAGTCACATCAAATATGTTTGAAGCTATTGAAATGATCTTCTAGTTCTGGGATAATGTTTGGCCATAACGAGCTTCTTACCTTACAGTTCTAGTACTACAATCTAGCAAAGTTTACACTACTCTAGAAGTAAGGACCACCTACAATAATTCTTAAATCCCATGGCATATTCACTTCAGATTTCAGATTGAAGTTATCAATCAGATTTTTTCATCACGATCTGCAGTAGAAAGTTGGACCGCCCAACTACGAGGTTCATTTTTTCACAAGAAATTTACAGTTGCAACATACCACTTTCACCCTTGGTAACGAGGTTCCAATTAACAACTCGTGGCTCAACTGCACTGAGTAGCTCAAGAAAGAATAATCCACTTGAAAGGCTCTTGTCCTACATACACGTTTCAAAACACATCGTCACCAAGCCATTATAAATTATCGTACAAATTGCCGTTTCTTTAACCATATTAGCACAAGTTGAGAGATAAGTGCACTGATGATAACTTGTCAAGAAGAAGGTGTTTAATCTCAACCTTAAAGCTTTCCATTTGAGATGTTCTGCCTAAATTCTTCACTTTTTTGTTAGCCCACGTTAGTATATCAGCATCAGAAAACTCCTTTCCTTGGGAACGGGATCTTAAGTTCTTCAGGAGTTGAAGCATATTGAACCTCATCAGCTGCCAAAGGAAAGCTGAAAGAAAAAAGAGGTTAACACGCGCAATTACCTAGCGTTCATATTTTGGTTTAATTTCAACAAAACCTAAAATCAGCCAAGGAAATTAAAATAAGAAGAGGTCTAAACCGCATCACGTGCCAAAAGAAATCCCAAAAAAGAAATAGAAATAGGTAAACACCAAAATCAATTCAGGAAGTAAAGAAAAATAAGGCTCGGAAAACCAAAGGAAACAATAAAACAAGAATATTTTTAAGTAAAATATGAATAAAATAATGTTAGTGGACTCCTAACTATCTCACACATCCTAATGAAGCAAAGAAGCAGAAGGTGAATACCAAGCATGTGAAGGCATTACACATTAAAATGTAAATCAGTTATCCTTCATCCCTTCATGCCAAAATCTCCTTGAGTTTTTATAATCATATATAGCATGAAAGAAAAAAATTGCCCATCTGAACACTTCAATCCCATGCCTTTATAGGTCCCAAAAGAAAGTTCTGTAACTGAGCTTGGCCACTTTTGTCATTTAATAAAAACGTTGATAAGCAGAATTTAACCGAACTAACCTCACATGGCCAGTAGTCTTTAAAATTCATGACACAACTATATAAATGAAACTCCAAATTAGTCTCAACAGACTATGTTTACATTTAACGGGGGGCCATTTAGCAGACAATTCCATGGACCAATACAGAACAGGGAAAGGAAGGTCTGAGCCATCTAAGTGCATTATTAGCCCGGCTTCTAAATTGGAAGGCCATCTATCGTATCACATACACAGCAATAAATCTTTTTTTCTATTTTAGTAAGCACAACAATAAATTGGATAATACAAGTAACAAATAAATTGTGCAGCATTGAAATCCTACATCAAGACAATGAACAGTAGTCAATAAATAGTAATAGAAAAATGATTATTTCGCATTTACTTGCATTATTTTTATTCAAATAATCATGATCAGTTGGTATAGTTCAAACTAAAAAAGAGGCCCAAATGACAACTTTTTCTTAATAGAGTAAGGCGAGCACATTACCAAGTATGAGTTTCTTATTCCCTTGTACAAAATCATTCCCAGCTACGTTGACAAGGGAAAGCTTCAACCGCTTCCCTATCCCAACCACTTGGTTGCAATTCTCTACTTTTCTGAATGGCATTCTTATAGGAGGTTTGGTTGCCTGCTTCCAGTTGACAGATCCTGGAGAAACTTTATCCAGCACTTCCAGAAGAATCCACCTGCAGATGTAACAGGTTTTACAAGCTTCAAGAACTGGTAATTCTTGTGTCAAAAGGAGTGAACTCCAAACTGAAAAGATGGTAGGTCTAATTACACCAAAATTGCTAAAAGAACTTTGTTTTAGTAAATGTAGGGAACACAGGACCTAACCAACTTAAACCTAGGAAGTATTGACACAGACAAGAGTGTCGGATACAACAGACACGGACAAGACAACACAATGTAGATACGTCGACGTGCAGTTTTTCAAAAAAGTACCAACATGGCACATGCGCAACACGCTAATTAAAATATTATGTTTATATTTTTTGCTTTTTATATTTTATATTGTGAATTATTTTTATATTTTTCATTTTTTATATTTTATATTGTGAAGTAACTTTTTTTTTGTTAATTTTAGTGTGTCGACAATGTATCTCCCAATGTATCGACAATGTGTTAGGGACATGTCTAACTATACAAACCAAAATATAATTCAGACATGCCACCCGGCACTTCTAATACATGTCGGTATTGTGGATGACAAAAAAAACCCGACAAACCCGATATCCGTGGGTCCCGTCCCAAATGGGGCTCGGTTTACCCGTTTAATCTGGTATTCGGGTCAGAGACGGAGTGGGTAACTTCATCCCAAGGCGGGTGCAGATGTAATAGGTTTCCTGTCCCGTTTAATTTTTTTTTTTAGAATTCAATACTTTAAATGGAAAATTTCACAAATTTCATTAGTTCTAATAAAAAATGGCAACTAAGATTATCTAACATTATACTGTTTATTATTTTTAGAATAAAATGGTTATATATTAGAATAATTTAACTTTTAAAAATAAATTAAAATTAAAAAATATATTATTGTCCTACTTTAATGAATGGGGGTAAAAAAAATCGGGTGGTAAATGGGGCAAGGGCCCGCGCCTGCCCCGACCCGACCCGACCCGACCCACCCCGTTGCCATCTCAAGTTGACAATGTGTCGGCGACATGTCCAGTTGTACAAAACCAAAAAAATCTATTGAACAAGCCACCTAGTGTTTTTGACAAATATGAGAAATGGACTCGTTGGCATTGAGAGGGATTCAATGCATCCTAGGCTTTAACATTTTGCAATTTCATGTTAATGTACAAAATTTTCATAGAAATGAAAAACTCACCCATTTCTAACATCCTCAAACAAGTTATTGACATAAGAGGCAATTCCTAGACTGTTGATCCATAGGCGAAAGCATCTCTCCTCTCTAGATATTAGTTCATCATCTGTCATCATCTCTGCAAAAGAGATTTTTTTGTTGTCCGTAGATAAACCATTCCTGGTAAAAAACACTTCCTTATAACATTTCCAAACATGTGGTTAAAAAATATAAGAGCAAGATCAATTTAAAAGAAAAGCAGATAAATTTTCTGAACAGTTTTACTAATCCTAAAATAAGCTTAGTAGCAGTAGAGATTCTTTAACTGTGCGAGCTACCAATCAGAAGTGACTTGTTTGTAGTTTATAGGTGTGATTATCTGAAATTTACTTTGAGCATTCCAAAATAGCTTTTAAAAAAGGAAGTACTATGTTGATTGCTAATGATCTTCATCCCAAAATACTCCTGTAAAATAATAGCAGCAGTAAATTTCGAGGTAGGAAATTCGGAAGTCAGATGTGTAATGCAATGTAATAGTGAAATGGTTGAACATTTCTAAGAGCTTCAGAGGCATGCATAGACAGCAGATATAGAAAGAACATGACTTGCGAAAACAATTTTTATTTAGTCGTGGCAATGAAAGTTCATCATCGCTCCTTTTCTGTCCAACAGATACATAATTTCATTGCCCAAGAAATGTAGCCATATAGTAAAAGACTAAATAGCTGTCAAAATAAAATATCTCTATTTACCATAATCAATATAGTTTCTCACCTCTGGTGGAATATCTGCGCAACAAATGCAAGATTTAAATTGGCCGAGCCTTCAACTATATCCTTTGGAGATAGATATCTTTTGCAGTCCATTCTCTCTGCATGATCAAGAACCAAATTAGCCCTTTCAGTGGCATCTTTGGCGTCTAAGGTGGCAGGGCTGCAGTGCTCCGGCGCAAGTACATTAAGCAGGTAAGCATAAGCCTCCCCATCCTGAAAAACATAAGCATGTGATATGGATGTAGAAACACTAAAAATAGCTATCAATTACAGGGATGAAAAGAACATAAAACTGTTCGCAATACTGGAATTCTAAGCGAAAGGATAGTATGCTCCCATTATTATGCATTTACAAGAAAAGCAGCAGCCAAAAGCTATATGTCAGCCCCAAAACATTTTCTCCAAACTAAAAACTAACCTTCATGTCCAATACAGACAGTAATTTAAGTTGTTACAAATAATTATTCTTGATAGCCACAAACATAGCTAAAAACTTCCAGGCCCTCTTAAGAATTTAGTTTATGTCCTCAGCAAACATGTAGGAAATTCTTGCACTTTGACACCCAGCCACGCCAAAGCAGAATACAAGATTAAGTTTCAACAAAGACGTACCTTCACGTCTGAAGAAAAATTTGTTACAGTTTTCTTGTAGCCTGCTTTCTTGAGATGGAAATTCATCCATTTCAGCAAGACTTTTTCTGGAGATAGTCCCATAAGCTCCTCAACATCCTGGAAATATTACAGACACCTTATTGAGTTGTACCTATTGGGCTGAATTCCAACTTACATTTTCGGTAAGGAACAAATTTGACATTGTAAATGTATCAAGATTTGAAGGGATATCTTGTCAATTACATTGTTGTCTTCTACCAGTTCTACCAGCTGGGGTGTCTTTCTGAGGTTGAGATCTGCCAGTAGTTGAATCTGAAATGCCGCCATCAAAAGCAATAGGAAGTTAAGGGATCGGTAAAGGTCCACCAGTAAACCTAAACTTACTTAACACTGCAGTGTGCATAGACATATAAAGCAATATTCCTCTTTCCGCCTCTTTTTCTTATTTCTCTGCTATAGAGAAGTTATAAAATGTAATAAAGACTAAGGAACTAACCTTTATAATTTGAGAAATTAGCCCGAGCAGTAAATGAGGCTGAAAATATAGAAAAGATTATATTAAAATTTGACAGTATAATTTGAGAAATTAGCCCGAGCAGCAAATGAGGCTGAAAATATAGAAAAGATTATATTAAAATTTGACAGCCAAATAATATCCATATTATGCACGCTTATTTGCAAATTGGTTCCACTCACTCTTCCTTCAACCAAGTCCTGAGTACCAATATTGACCACTGTACAGCCAATGGCTTTTGCTGAGTTGAGGCAAAGTGTGTGATTCTCGTTTCTTTCCCATGGATTAAGTACCCGTTTGGTGTTAATAGCCCGCTCGTCTATTGTCCCCGGTACAGCTACATTGATCAGCTTACTGCATAAGGACACAGGACATCAAACCACGACTAGGGAAAAAATTCAAAATTCAAGGCATGTAAAAATGGAACAACGTGAAGTCCCTACCATAGTAATACTCCATCTTTTGCAAGATCAAATAAAGCATTTGAAGATGGATCGATGGGAAGGAAATGCTTCAAAAACGGGTCATCTCTGAGGTAGCTGTTGATATGAGCAACATATGAAGCCTTCTCGGAGTCATTGATAGTGTGAAGAAGGGTGGTTGTGGTGGACTTGAGAAATGATGACGATTGTTTTGAATTCCCCACTTTAGCGGTAGATCGACTTTGTAAATCTAAATAGATCTGCTCATCAAAAGCTTCATATAAAATTGTTAGCAAAAGCACATCAAAACAAGTTAACATAAAGTTCCATCGAAATCGTCATAATTCCTCTCCTCTCCTCTCATAGTACAGCTAGAACCACTCTTCTAAAATATTCATATCATGAACATTGCTTTCGTGTAGATAGATAGCAGAGTTTAGCCAATGATGCATAGGATATAGGAAAATTCACCTTGAGGAAGTTTTCAAAATCAATCTCATTGGTAAAATCAGAATTTGATTCTCCCAATACACTCCTGATCTCCTCCTCGTTGAGCTTGTCACGGAAAGCCTTTAGTTTCGCCATCAAAGGTGGTAAATCCCCAACTGTAACTTTGCCATTCTGATTCTTTATAGATATGAACTAAAAACAAAAACAAGAACATGAACATGAACCCCACATTTCAAACATCGATTCCGTACAAATGCACATTGGCCACTTGCTTCAATTGTTAGATTCAAGAACACCAACACGACAAATCCCAAAAACAAGTTCCAAAATTCTCATTGCCAGATTCAACAACAGTGAAAAAGTTAAAACAAATAACATCAACATGGTTAAACGGAAGTTACTTTGGATTTGAGGCTCTGAAATTGGACTTGCGTAAACTGGCTCTGAAGCCATTGATCGGACACAAGAACTCCCACAAAACTAGACATCTCCTCGACGCCCCTGCGCTTCCAAAATCACGGGGAAAATGATCGAACGCACTCCAACAATACGATTAATCAGCAATCCACGATTCTAAATCTTGTCTCGTTCCAATGTAGTATATATCCAACACTTCGACTTGTCTCCAATTATATCTTCACTTCCTGACAAATATAATCCCACAAAATTCAATTTTTAAAGAACTCATGGTCAGAAACCAATACGTCCACATGCAGGAAATATTTAATGGGCATTTCAAGATTGAATAACTACATAGATTCCTTCAAGAGAAACCGATATTTCAGTAACTGGGTTTTCGTCAAATTCCTTATCATCCTTTTATGGGCAATTCACGATTGGGCAATGACACAGGGCTATATACTTACATTGAAGAAAATCCGATATTTCAGTAACTGGGTTTTCCTTTTCTTCTTTTGCAAATTAATTTATAGTCTGTCAATATACATACACAATACATACATATTTGAGCAATTGCTTCGGCGAAGAGCAAAGAGAAGAAATTTGGGCAGCGGACACGCAAAGACTATGAGGAGGAGAAACACGAGCCAGTTAAGAGGCGATTGTAGAGAGGCCCATTTCGATACGACGAGATCTCCACGCGCTCTGTTTGTTGAACAGCTCATCGTCCAGTTGACACCTAGGCTATTTATATCGTCATTTTGTAACCAATTTTTTAAAACATTTATTGAAGATCAATTTACTATTTAAACAAAGAAGGACGAAACTTTTCCAAATTTCTGCCAAATTGGCACATAATTGTTAAGAAAATATGTCTCTTTTCAAATACCTATTTGGACCACATTCTTATTTTCATTCACATTCTTCTACTCATTTTCAATCACACATTTTTCAATAAAATAATATTTTTCATCACATCAATAATTTTTTCTTCATTTTCAATTACGTATTTTTCATCACATCACATCAGAAAAATGAATTCTCTTCTAAAAATATGCATCAAACACACACTGAAAATATGTTATCTTTTGTGCAGTTTTAATGAAATGTTGAGAATTACTTTGTTATTTTTAAACATCGAATATCAACTTACTATTTAAACAATAAGTTCATGACTAACAATGCAATTTTTTGGAAAAGAAACCAAAAGGTGAGACAAAATGTCGACTTGTATATTAATCTCATTTGATTATTAATGATGATGCTATATCTTCACAAAATAACGTCTCGAGAAATATAAGAAGCAATGGCTTTTCTTTTCTTTTCTTTTTTGCTTTGATCCCAATCAAATTTGTTGACCTTCAAATTTGGTTGGGATTTAGCGTGTCAACGGATTGAAATTTCTCTTTCCTTCATGTATACATTACGTGGACACTTGGACAAGAGGCACAAATCAAAACTTCTCCAACAAGACGGGGAGGATGTGATCGTATACGCTCTAACGCTTAAATTAATAAACAGACAATCAATTTTAGTGTGGGAGAAACACGAAAGGAGAAGAAATGTGAGGGCGAAATTTTTATATTCTGAAGTGAAATTATCAATTTGCAATTATCTTCAGAAGACACAAAGCACGAGTATTTATAAGCATATAGATGTAACTAGGTTTTTTTTTTTTTTTTGAATAGTTGAGACGTAGCTTCATTCCAATGACCTCCAATTCAAGATTAATGATGTCACATAATAGTCATCCTAGGTCAGACATACCATACACTATCCTATGTGGATAAAAGGGCATTTGACTATCAATCGTTATTGTAAAGATGTCACATCATTTAATTGCACGTCACTCAATGTGTAGATTACAACTTTCACGAGATATTAGTGGTCTAGTCTCAATCGCCTTAGACTCACGAGGCTCATTCGGTGTGGTTAAGGATTGGATCTCCTATCGATCGCCTCGGAGTAGAAGTGATGACTTGTGTCACCTTGGAGGTGGTCGTCAACAATGCTTTGAGCTAGGCCATCTATTTACATTGACATCAAAGTCTAACTATATTAGAACATTTATAACACAATCCAAATAGTCTTTCTTTTCACTCGTGAGAGATGGGTGGTGGACTGAAGTGTTTAAGATAGATATATATGTACTAGTCACAGCGAAATGTGCGTTGCACGTTATTTTGAATGTTTTATAAACGTTGTAAAAATGATATTTGAAAATTAGTTAATATAAAAAAAATATTTTACATGTTTATGTGAAATGAACTTTTTATACAATTCAATTATTTATTTATGTGTATGATAACAATTAACATTAATTTATATATATCTTACTACAATTCAATCAATTAATTCTTCAAATTCATGCATGCACACTTTATATATTTTGAAAACTGTTCAATTACTCTAGAAATATTACAATTCAATTATTTATGTATGTGCATGTATACTAATTAACATTTATTTATGGATATATTAAATATAACATTAAATCATCAAATTCATGTACACATGTTTTAGGAGCTATTCAATTATTTTAGGAGTAAATAAATTATTCAAGTTCATAAACACGTATTTATTTTCAAGANTTTATTTTTAAGATTATTCATTTTATCATGAATTATTCTAAGAGTATGTAAATTAGTAAAGAGCATATAATTTGGGAGTTATTCAATTATTATAAGATTAGATAATTTATTCAAGTCTATATACACTTATTTATTATTTTTCTATATCTATTAATTCAATTAATTAAATTTCTTGTTGGTTCACTTACACCCCCTTTTTAAAAATGTATATACATTATTATTTTTCTATATTCATTAATTCAAATTAATTAAATTTCATGTTCATGAATCAACTTGATTGTTCTCATACAAAAAAAGTAAAGTACTATTGAAATAATAAAATTGTAGTAGAGCTAAAATCGTTCAGAAAACGATTCTCGTTTGATGCGATATTTAATATATTATAGATATATAATGGAGAATGTGTGGTTAAAAAATAATCAAAAGTTTTGAGTTTGCTTGTAGTATTATCTTATTGAATAATTTGCAGTTAAAAAAAATATAAAGAAAAATATATTTTTGAAATAATGTGGATCAAGGGCATAGTTTCATTTGGCATTTTGACCATTTCCACTTTTGGCCAGGATAAACACAGGAATTGTAAGTTCATCAGGTAAAAAATGGACAAGAAGAAAGTAGTAATTTATTTACATTTGATGTACTCTAAAATAAAAATAACTCGAACAAAATAAAATTATTTATCTCACACACGTTTGAAATTAACTAATCTCAACGAAAATCTTTTATTGTTTGAAACCAATAAAACTCGGAATGAGCTCCTTAGCGCTTACTTGATCAACAATAGATGACCTTTCTCGAGTACCGGCTGACTCTTCCTGCCGACTTTCCGTAACCGCGAACAAACATGAAGTTATTCTATAATTTGTCTGTTTGTTTTAGACTGGATTCTTTTATTCATTTGTATCCAAATGGCTGGGGAAGATGGACCATGTGACATTCTCAAATGGACTGCACGTTCCCTTTTGTACAAATGAAAAATAGAAAATAAAAATATAAAAAAACAGGCAGTATTGAAAATGAGAACTTCGTCTAAAGCATCAATTTTTCAGTCAAAATATTTATTTAATGGGAACGGCTCACCGACAACCGACCACAAATATTCCTTTTAGAAAGACGCTCAAGTTCCTAATTTCTTGCAAATGTTGACTACTTAAACTATTTGCAAATAAATAATAATAAAATTTGAATTTAGACTTTTATTTATTTCAATTTAATATCAGGTTGAATGACAATTTGATCGGTAGATTAAGTTATCAGTGATTACAAAATTTACATCCTCTAGGACACGATGCATAAAACAGATAAAATGGATAGAAGTCAATATAGTAGTGTGAGAAAGCAAAGCTTATTCATTTTGAGTAGGGGTGGCAAACAAGTCAAGTGGCTTGCGGGCTTGGTTCATGGATAACTCAAACTCATTTTGGGATGAGCCATAGGTTGAGTCGAGCTCACTTTTTATTCCATGAGCGAGTCAACTCATTTTTTTGCTTACTTTATAATTTCATTTTAAAAAGTTTCAAAAAGTGAATAGCAAAAAGGACTTTGCTTGAGAACCTACCGACCCGTTGATCCCTGAGGTCCACAAGCCAGAGGACTAAGTCGAGTCCAAAATTTGGTCCACACGAGCTTGACTCGACTCAGCTCAACCCGTAGCAACCCTAACTCTTAAGTTTTTAACTCAGTCCCAGTTTGATTCTCATTAATTCAAAACTCATTTTTTTCAAATTTGTTTTCTAGAAATCCAATTTTTTTTTGCTTTTTAAGCAAACTTTATTTTTAAAAATCCACTATTACAAACTCATTTTGATGAAATAATGGACATCAGGGGTAGTGACGAGTATACTTCACTCATGAATTTAATGCAACTTAAACTTGTTATTTTGTTATCTTTGAGGAGTTTTAGAACGTTTTAATTTTTGTTTTCATGTTGTGTTATAGGTGTGGTAAAGTGGTGAAAGAATGACTAAAAGGAATGAGGTTGATGAAGGCGATGAATTAAGTTAAGAACAACAAGAAGAAGAAACATACTGAATTTGATCATTATTTGATTTTAATTCGGAATAAAGATATTGAAATTGAATCATAGAAATAGCTTTTACTCGATACTCAAGAGAGGGAGTGGAATTATATTAGGGCTCTTGCTTATAAACTTGGAAAAATTGATTCGAGATGACTAGATAGTTGATAAACGGAGTTGATAGTTAGGTGAAATCACAATCTTAGGATTTCTCATCTTGATTAATTCTTCTAAATTGCATTTAAATAGTTGGATTCGTCACCTTATTCATTATTAGACTAGTTAATAACATTGATTTAAAAATTCAATAGTTTAGATTAAATAGATGTTATTCATTATAGTATTTAATAAGAAATTGTTTTAATCCATGTGAGTTCGACATTTATACTTGATCGTTGTGTTACAAAACTTGACATCGAATACTTATGTTATATCTACGTTATAGAAAACATGTAATAGGTTGATTTTCAAGCAGTGATCC